GGGCTATTGTAGTATTTTTGTTTTTATTTGGCAATTAGTGTTTAATCATGGACTAATTAGGCTCAAAACGTTCGTCTCGCAATTTCCCACCAAACTGTGCAATTAATTTTTTTTTCCGCTTACATTTAATGCTTCATGCACGGGCCACAAACATTCGATGTGATAAGTACTGTAGCATTTTTTGGGAATTTGGGGTGGAACTGAACACGCGCCCAATGAAAAAGAAAAAAATGCAGTAATTTACAGTAATTGCCTTTTTCTGTACTCGTAGAGACCAGTGAGAGAAGAGAGGAAGCAAAAGAGGCAGAAAAGAATACTCCTACATACAGTAGATATGGAGGAGCGTGGGTCCCGCCCACCGAGCTGCCGCTCGCTGTTCTGTAGTGACAGGGACACTGGCCACTCTGCATGAGGTGGGTGACTGACTGGGGAGGAGGCCTATGAGCTTCCACTGCCGCCCCGTCCCCACCTCCACCCCTATTAAATGCCCTCTTTGACCTCACTCGTCGTCGTCTTCGGCCGGTTGGTTGCTTCCCCTAACTTCGGCTCTGGTCTGGCGTCGCGGCGGCCTTGCTGCTGGCGCTGGCGGTGGTTGGAGTTAGCAACCGAGCAACGGCATCATCAGCTGCTGGCGTCTGGCGAGGCGACCGAAATCAATGGCGGGGAGGTGACGTCTTTTCCCCCCGCTGCACTAGTCCTCGGCTCCGATCCTCCGCCCCCCTGAGCGACCACCTGCCGTCAGCCGGCCGGAAGGGGGGAGAAGACGTCCCCGAGGAAGAGTACGTACGTCTGCTCTTGCCGGGAGCCGTCCAGCAGGCAAGTTCCCCCCACTCTCTTCTTTCTGTTCCATCTTGCTTTGGGAGTTTGGGGTCATGGTCATCGCCCCCCGGCCTCTTGTTTTCCACGACCTCGGGGCCAAGGATTAGGACCTGCTGTTCGTGTTTGCGCCCATCGATTTTGTACAATCTTTGGAGTCTTGCTACGAGATGCTACGAACTAGGGTTAGAGTGTGATGCCCTTCAGCTGAGATTGGGATTGATTCCATTGGTTAGTGTAAATCCGGAGTTTCCACTTCCAGTCTTCGGGGCTTACTACGTCATCCGTCTTGTTCATTCTACAGCGATTTTTTTTTTCTTTGAGTCAAAGTTCTACAGCGATTGATTCCTCTGTTACTTGTTGTGTTAGGCAGGCTGTTCAACTCCAGTGATTGATTGATCGAATTCCTTCGCGAGGCCAAGAAAGAAATTGGGGATTTCATTTCCTCACTGGCCTAGCTGGCAGCAGCTTTTTGCGCGAGGTTCTCGGCTTGATTTCCTCCTGCGCACACAGTGCCGGCCGGGTGCCTCGGACGGAGCATGCGTCGCGTCCGGGTGTCCTCCCAGCAGGCCCCCGTCCACAAGCTCGGCGACGCCCAGATGAAGCTCACGCCCAGGTTCCGCCTCGCCGCCACCTCCACGCCGCCGTCGCCGTCGCCGGCCTCAGACCCGGAGCAGCAGCAGGAGGAGGCATCCTCGTGGGAGGAGCAGGCACCGCTGATCCCGGGCCTCCCGGACGACGCGGCGCTCAACTGCCTGCTCCGCCTGCCCGTGTCGGCCCACGACGCGTGCAGGCTGGTGTGCCGCCGCTGGCGCGTTCTCCTCGCCGACAAGGCGCGCTTCTTCGCGCAGCGGAGGCTGCTGGGCCTCCGGACGCCGTGGCTCTTCACGCTCGCGTTCCACCGCTGCACGGGCAAGATCCAGTGGAAGGTGCTGGACCTGGGCCACCTCACCTGGCACGCCATCCCGGCCATGCCGTGCCGCGACCGGGCCTGCCCGCGCGGATTCGGCTGCGTCGCCATCCCCGGCGACGGCGCGCTCCTCGTCTGCGGCGGTCTCGTCTCCGACATGGACTGTCCCTTGCACCTCGTGCTCAAGTATGACATCTACAGGAACAGGTGGACGGTCATGACACGGATGCTCACTGCCCGGTCTTTCTTCGCCGGCGGCGTGATTGATGGCAGGGTTTATGTCGCTGGAGGGTACAGCGCGGACCAGTTTGAGCTCAATTCAGCTGAGGTTCATGATCCTGATAAGGGTGTTTGGCAGCCGATTGCTAGTATGGGGATGAACATGGCGTCGTCCGACTCGGCGGTCATCGGTGGAAGGCTCTATGTCACCGAAGGATGTGCTTGGCCGTTCTTCTCGTCGCCTAGAGGCCAAGTGTATGACCCCAAAATCGACCGGTGGGAGGCGATGCCGGTTGGAATGCGTGAAGGGTGGACGGGCTTAAGCGTTGTCATTGAGGGGCGCCTGTTTGTCATTTCAGAGTATGAGAGGATGAAGGTTAAAGTCTATGATCCGGAGATGGATTCATGGGACTCGATCAGCGGCCCTCCGATGCCCGAGCGGATTATGAAGCCCTTCTCCGTCAGTTGTCTCGACAGCAAGATCATCGTCGTTGGACGAGGTCTCCATGTCGCGATTGGCCATGTTCAGAAGGAACCTGCTGGCGATCCTGATAGTAGGAGTTCAGGCTACTCCATTTGCTGGCAAGATGTGGATGTTCCTAAGGAATTCAGCGATCTTACACCTTCAAGCAGCCAGATTCTGCATGCTTAGCTGCTCGCTGATAATCTGCAGAACGACCGCAGCTCATCAACCAGGTTGGTCTCTATGATCGGTCAACTATTGGAACTGCCCCTCTTTGACCTGCACAATTGCTGTGTTCTGTACAGTAGGATGTTTTCCAGTCAGATCTCTGTATTATCTGGAACTGCCCTCTGTAAAGAAATAAATTGAGTTCTGTAATCGGAGAGACAGGACGTTTGGGAGTCAGATCGTCTATGTATTATTTACTTTGTGGAGTTGTAGAAAAACCGTGCTGTTCCCGAAAAATTTCACGATAAATTGAGGTCGATTCTTCAAATCGGAGAGAGCCAAACTCATCAGAAGAAACTTGTTTTTCTCTCATAATAAATTAGATGCTTGTCAGATTCATGAACAGGGCCAAAACTGTTGCTCTATTTCACTCTTTGTCTTTGGTCTTTCATTGATCAGAATTCAGAACTGTTGTTGAATGCACCCTGCCAAGTGTTCCTTGCTTTGTTGACAAGCCGATAGCATAAGTTTGTAAACTGTTCTTCCTCTGTGCATTGCATGACTGTGGTGTGCTTATTGATATGTGCTATAAGAAGTATAAGTACTTGTTCTGTCACTCTGCAAGTGCAACGCGTCAGATTGCTTTGCTTCCTCACACGAAGTGGCAACAGTTTTCTGAAAACTTTGAGCTTGCAAAATTTCCTTTTGTATGGGAATTAAGTTGATGAGCCATATTATGAAGCTATGGAGAGTTTTTGAGCATCGCTTTCCTCAATAATTCGGGTCCAAACCATCCAGTTCCTCCGAATTCAACCAAAAAGGCTTTTGGTCTTTCATTGATCAGAATTCAGAACTGTTGTTGAAAACCCTGCCAAGTGTCTACTTGGTTTGTTGACAAGCCGATGGCATAAGTTTGTAAATACCAAGTTCTTCCTTTGTGCATTGACATGACTGTAAAATGCTTATTGATATGTGCTATAAGTATAAGTACATGTACAACAATACTCTGACTATAGTTCAACGCGTCATGATTGCATTGACTTCCTCACAGTATAGTGACAACATCAAGGAAAAGCTTTGAGCTTTATTTGTTTCCTTTAGTGATGGATGAGGTCACATATCCCTTGGTGTATGCTTTTCGTGGAAATGTAGTGCTAGTTGATGAAAGCCGGTTGAATCGAAACTGGAGTTATGACGGGAGACTTTGGAAAATTTTAGACTCAAGAGAACTAAAATCGAGTATATGATGTGACTTACTACTTTGGAAAGTGAAGAAGATATTAGTTTAGAAGATCAAGTAGTACCTAGGAAGGATACATTTCGGCTTTAGGATCAATTTTTCAGACCAGCGAATATCGATGAAGATGTGTGTTAGCCATAAATCAAAGCGGTGGTGGATGAAGTGGCGGCAAGCATCCGTGTATATAGTAGTATATCTATTCAGATGCCTTTTAGCCAGATAAAACTGCTATGTGGATTGTTGTTACTTTCAAAGGGTCATGTCAAAGAGAGGTCGGAGCAGAGTGTTCGATCATCATCAAGCTTTCGAGTTTGGACGATGATTTTTGATAGATTAGCGAAACAAATTGATTATCCTGTTTATCCATAGTGACATGACCTCACATGGAGTTGGAGACGTGGAGTGTAGTCATCCAAGAACCAGAGTTAGAGGCAGAGGAAGATCGAAGTTGAGATCCAATAAAATCTTTTGCGGATGGAATATATCCAAAGACTTAGCCTTACATATGAGTGTTTGGAAGATAGTTATTCACGTGCCTGAACCTTTTGTTTCTATTAGGTTTTAACTCTAGTCTACTTTAATTTGTTTGGGACTTAAATGCTTTATTGTTGCTGTTAGCAGTATATCTATTCAGATGCCTTTTAGCCAGATAAAGGTGAATTGTGTTACTTTCCAAAGGGTCAGTCAGAGAGAGGCGGAGCAGAGATTCGATCATCATCATGCTTTTACTATTTTTTTCCCTGCGAAACAAATTGATTATCCTGTTTATCCATGACCTCAGATGGAGTTGGAGACGTGGAGTGTAGTCATCCAAGAACCAGAGATAGTACAAAACTCCTATCTATAGATGGCCTCTTGCGGCCAGTGGGGACTGCAGAGCATCAAGTCATACTGAACAGAACAGGATAGTTTCTTGATTCCTTGAAGGATTAGCTACAAGAGACAATTATTCACCCGTTTGAGCTTTTTTTAAGCTATAAAACAATATTTTTCTCTCATAATATTTTAGCATAAATATTAGCATAAGCTAAATTTCAGCGTAAGCTAACAGACTGATTAGCAACTTACACGGCAATGATTTACCGATCACTAGCTTACCACATCATGCTGTAATAAAAAAAATCTAATTTCAGCATATATCAAAAAAAAAATCTAATTTCAGCAAATCCGAGCAGCAGCCAGCCATGGAGGCGCTCTACTTGCTCGCCTCCCTGGCCGCGACCCTCGCTACCTCCGCCTTCCACTCGCTCCTGCTCCTCCTCCGCCTCCTCGTCCGCTACCCTGGCCGCCCTGCCCCTGCTGCCCCAGCCGATGGGCCCGCCGCGGCGGCGCGGCTCTACGAGGGCCGCGTCCGGCACTCGCGCAGGCGCCCGGCGGCGCACGCCTTCGAGTACCCCGCGCGCTACGCCCTCGTCGACCTCGACCGACTGCCGCTCCCCGGCCACCTCTCCGCCGACGAAGCCCGCCGCGTCGCTTCCACCTCCGGCCCCGTGTGAGTCCCTCCTCTCCGCTGCTGCTGCTTATCGAAAATTTCGCACCCTCGTGATGAAAATAAATCCAACATGTCATGCTCTCAAATTTGAAGGGAAGCCACATTTTTGCTCTAGACAGTCTTCAGTTTGTTGTTCAGTTTGTACAGTTGCAAAAGCAGAGCAGTCTGATTATAAAAAGTCTCTTTTGACGAAATGGCTCTTGAGCGCTGACTCGCCTTGTTCTTCCCTTGATGAAGGCACCTCCTGACGATACCCAAGAGCGTGGGGTACGAGCAGAACCCGCTGAGCATTTACTACTGCTACGATTCTGCAGGACGGGGACAAGATGGAGAGCTCAGAGTGTGCATTGCCGAGGTGTGATTAGTGTGCATATGATTCATCTCCATTGGTTTGTTGTTGATTATTTGCAACTGTCTAATCTCCTGCTGTTGGCGTCAGGTCACAAACACTCCCTGGGGAGAGAGGGTGATGTTTACCTTCCAACCGGGCTCTGATCTCGTCGCGAAGCCCTTGCATGTCAGCCCCTTTATGGTATGACCTCAGTTAAGAATCAATTTATCAGGGTGTTTAGATTCACCTCCTAAGCTTTAGTCGCTGTTCCATCGAATGTTTGGACATATGCATGGAGTATTAAATATAGACTAATTACGAAACTAAATGCATAGATTGAGACTATTTTGCGAGACGAATTTTTTAAGCCTAACTAGGCCATGATTTGACAACGTGGTGCTACAGTAAACATGTGCTAATGACGGATTAATTAGGCTTAATAAATTCGTCTCGCGGATTACTGACGGATTCTATAATTTATTTTTTTATTAGTATCTGAACACCCCATGTGACACCTCCTAAACTTTAGTCACTGGATCCAAACACCCCCTAAAGCCAGCTAAAAGAATGCGCCCTTGTTTATTCAGAATTCAGACAATGTGATGTGTTGACTGATGAGTCTGGAACACATTTAGTACAAAATGTTAGTTTGCTCAATTCACTTCTGTCTTTGATCTCATTGCAAATTCTATTGCACAATCATATAATGGATGTTTCTGCGCGTTGCCTAGTTAATTTTTGGTAACTCTGTGTACTGTGTTCACCTCTGTTGCTTATTCTTAGTGGGCTTCTTTTTGTTGGCATGAGTCGTAGGATATGCTCAGCAACTGGAGTATTCGTGCTGATGCCCCTGGTGATAGACTCTATGTTGTTATATCAGTTCAGCATCCGACACTTGGGGACTATTTCACTGCAGCTTTGGATGCTAAATTGGTTGGACAGACAAGTAATTCTCTGAGGCTGGCAACCTTCTTCTGGCTGATGCCACACAAAGTTGCTGCATGGATATACTGGGAGGTAAGGATCCTATGTGTTATGTAACTTTTCTGATTCCATGGCTAAGTTTATGGTTGCATTTTCCATACTGAGCAATAAACCCTATCTGATAACTCTAAGGAAAAGGCTATTAGTATGTATAAAAAATGAGATAAACATAAACTTGGTGGCTGTTTTCGTTATTCTTCTTTCCTCTATGTTCGTTTTTTAATATCTGTCAGGGCGGTTAAATCAACATATGCATGAATACTAGTGATTCTTCACTGAGTTTTTGTTTGATCTACACTCTACATAAAGCCTTGATTTGCACATGTTGAGAAAGTTTCTAGGATTTGTTTTATGGGCTCCATCGTTGTGTTCAAAGCCAGGGGCAGATCTCCCACTAGGACCACTATGTCCGTGGCCCTAGTCTTGAGCCCAATCATAGCAGGTACCTCTGTCTAGTGCTCCCAGTCTAAAAGCCCACTAAACCTTGTAGTGATGTAGCCCATCATCAATTCCATCAAGAAACACACAAGATTGCATGCCTCAGCGGCTCACTGCATTGCTCCTCCTCCAGGCTCCGGCATGTGGGTGCCGCTATAACAACCCTGGCTGCTCCACCTCATTGGCAGCAGTCCAACTGGCCACAGCCTGTGTTGCCTGGCTGCCTCTTGCTCCTCATGTCCTCCCAGTTCACGTTCTTGAATCTAGATCTTCTGCTCCATACCTTTGGTTCCTCATGGCCACACATCACTTTACAAGCTTAGTAGCCACCATGCCCGAGGAGGAGAAGCAAACTGGACTACCAGAGGCTACCAGCCTACCACTAGGCAAGTAGGCATCTGGTACGAGCCTAGCACATCGATTAGATTTTGTATCACACGTTAATCCTATGTATGGCACATTAAGCATGTAGATCAAGTTCACCTGAATTTCCGAATTTGTCATTTGCTTTTGCTATGTCTCGATTTGTGATTTGTGATCAAGTTCTATCTTTTATGCGTCTAAATTTTGCCCAGTCTTGGCCAAATCGTATGTCTGCCACTGTCCAAAGCTCTGTGTTTACTTCACTAGTCAGACCAATATCGGTGCATTTATACATGTTTCTTAAGATGAAAATGGCAACTGGTTTGGACTAGGGATTATGAAACCAGAATAACTGTGGTCCGTTAGGGTTTATTCTTGCAAAAAGAGCACAGCACGTTGGCACAGAGATTATCAAAAACTGGACCTGCGAGGGTATGACCACCCCCAGGCATTGCATTAAGAAGAAGACCTTCTCACGCAGGCCCAGAAAACCCCCGAACCCCTGCCCCACCCTTACACAGCGGCACCGTCGCCCTATGAGAACGGGCCGGTCCTTAGACCTGTGCTTTGGTGTGGGACAGACGGGGGGATTTTTTTAACCCTAGCCTGAAATTCGCTCCCACGGGGAGTCGAACCCAGGACCTGAGGAGTGCCACCGGGACGCTCTAACCAGTTGGACTAGAGGCCATTATAGCTCAAAGACACAAAATCTTGTACCAGTCATACTAACAGCCCATGCATGCACTCTGAGGGGAATGGAACTTAGGAAGACTGAATGCCATGTCCTGGTAGCACTCCAGGATAATTTTATTAGTCTATTACTCCCTCGCACAGTGTTCTTCAGCCCATTTCTGGTGATAGCCTTCCTATCTTGAGAGCAGACACCATGCACAGAGCTGATAAATCTGAAAACCTACCATGTAGAAAGGTTGAAACTAGCCTAACATGTGCCCTGAAATGGAGACCTTCATTTTAGATACGTCAGATTTGCTTAAGAGCACTTTAACCGACAAGGTGTAACTGAGCCTTGAGGAACTCAACAACTAGCTCAAAATAGAATTCCTGCTAGTACATACTTGGAAACCATGCCCCATCTGTTCTTTTTTGTTGCATTGCATGTACTCACTACCTCCAATCTTTTCTTTCGAGAGCAATATTCTTGCAAACATGTAATCTTTTTAGCTTCTAACCAGCAAACAAACAATAATTTCATTGGCATCGATGGTTGGTTTATCTTTTGCTTTAAGAAAGGTTTGTAGTTTAGTAGATGAGGCATCCCTTTAAACACATACTTCAATGCTGTGAACTGCTAATAGTTCAGAAGACTTCTGTACTGGGTATATACTATCAAAATTTTGAAGAAGCAGCCGAAGTAGCAAAAGTTGAAGTGGACAGTGAATTATGGCATTTCATTTGTTGAAATATCATCACCAACTGATAACTGATGACTGGCAATTAGAACCTGCTTCGGTTGACACGTCATCATCAGCATCTCAATTGGGCTTAGAATTAATTCCTGCATAACGTGTAGTACACGCATGAGCTGCTGATACATTCATCTCATTTGTTAGCCCTGTTTTCTGACTAATCTTTTACTGGTGCTCTGCTGCTGTTTTTTTTTTAATGAAAATGCTCTGCTGCTGTTATCCAGGCCCTCAGACTTTGGCTGAAGAACGTCAAGTTCCTAGACCATCCCAGGTATCTGAACCCGAGTTACAGGGATGAAGCACTGGAGCACGATCTCGAGCTCCGCACCTCCTGCAGCTACCTTCAGAGGCAGAAGGTGAACAACCAGAGAAGCAGAACCGCAGAAAAGACGGCTGGAACCCCGAACAATGTAGGTGGCAAGGGCGACGAGAACATCACGAAGAGGTGGTGCGTTTGGAGGGACGCTCAGTGGCCTTGGTCATGAAAAAAACTCAGATGTGCCATGCATTTTGTGTTCATTCAGATACCGTCTGGTGCTCCCCTGTGCGACCAAACATCGTAATTTGATTTGGTTGATGCCTTTGCAGACACCATAAGTTGCCAGTAGGTGGTAATTGTTAACATTGTTCACTGTTAAAGAAGAAGAGAGTACTTGGGACATGTTTTCCTCAAAAGATACATTTTCTTCAGTATGCGTTGTATCTAGTTTTTGACCAGTTATTCAGCTTCAATGTGTCCTATGGAATGTGCAAGTAGTGCGTGTGTGTATGCTACACGCCTACACCTCAATGCACATGTGTGCCTGATGGCTGCAAGATATTTTAAAACGCCGGATACTTAGCAGCCGGCCAGGCAAGCAAAGACATATGTCTGCTTTTCAGTAGTCAGGTCTAGGGATGAAACCGGATCGGATCTGCTTTTTGTTTTTCATATTTCTGTTCGGTAGTCAGATCAGATATCTGAAGTTGAATATCCGGAAGGATTGCTGAACCCCTCTCTCCTCTCAAATACGGTCTATTTTATATTTTTTCAGGTCTTTGAAGTTGAAGCTTTGCGTCTCCTTTCTCTATTTTTATATTTTTCCTTTTGAAGATTGCATCGCCTGGTTCTTTTCCATTCATTATACAACTACCTATGGATTATTAGTAGTAAACATTTCGTTGGTTCACACGGGCTGCCTAACATCCGACATGTGCCCATCCTCGGAGATATGAATACGATGCTGGATGATGACCGAGCTGTTCCTGCTCGTCCTCGACTCAAAGGTTTCGTTCTCAAACTTCTGAACACGACAGTCGTGGACTTTGTTGCAGCAGTGCTTCACAGCTCAAAACTTCTCTGTTTGCCTGCTGGATTTTGCAGAGGGATTCACATGGATTTACTTGCACGTTTGGGCGTTGTTGGAAAACCGTTGGAATTAGCAGACCTGCGTGCTACGCCTGCACGAGATTAGGGATGGACATGGACCCCACAAGTTGGCAAGTAGTAACTAACTGATGTAACGAACACGTGGTTGGAGTCATGCCTGTGCGGCTGTGCCTTATTTTGCACGTGCCGGGACGAAGCTAGCGTGAGAACAGCGACATGAGTAGTGGCGTGTAGTGGCGTGCAGCCATGGCCCATGCCCATCGATGAGATACGGCCTCGGCCTGCCTGCTTCCATTTTCCTTCCGTAAAGTTACATCCAAAGTGCAGTGCAAGCTCTCTTTTCTGAAAATATTAGATAGTATATAAATTATTTTTAACTCGAGTATAATTGTAGGATTTTTTTTCGAAAAACAGTACTTTTAGGCTCCTTTGGAACACTACAATTTTAAAGGAATCATATAGAAATTTTACATGAATCTTTTATTTTCATAGGAAAAACGCAGCAAAGAATAAAATTTCCGCGTTATAAAGGAGACCTTATTCTTTTTTGTGGAGTTAGGCATATTTTAATGCGCTATTATATTAGTAGCCTCAACGTGAGATCTCGAGAACGTTCGCAAAAAGTTTATACACGCACGTGTCGATATTAGAAACTTGTTAGCAAATGGAGGATAGTGAAGAAGGAAAGGAATACTACAATGGTTCTGAAAATGATTCAAATGCCCGCTACTTTTCTCAACTATCAAGCGTCTGTGTATCCTTTTCCCCATTGGACGGTCGATCTTCCAATGGTTTCCTTTGAGGCTTTTTACTACAAAAGCTGTTGTCACCATTAAAAAATTACTTAGCCCCTTCTATATGTAGTAATTCATTTAATATCCTTCTAGAATAGAGGTGTTTTGTTTCGTCAATTTTGAATTATTTAAACTGTTCACACTAAAATTGTACTACACCTACAATTGGAGTTTGTACCTTTAAAAATCTGTCCACAGATATAAGAATTTATGTCATTTAAGTAGTGCCATCTAAGCTATAATTGTGCCAATAAGAACCTAATTGTCTAATAGTTCAATCAGATCGAAACCTGGGTTAGCCTAATAGCGTGACATGTAATTGCATGAGTGTCTTTTTCCTTCCTGCCTGCTCAGTTTACCCTAAAAATCGTTGAGGTGCACTTTTTTTACGGAGGCAGTATTATGTAATGTTTTTCCCTAAACCCTAAATCCTGTTTACTTTCAAGTAGCAAATATTCTAAAAGCTGATGGCATATTTGGTAATAAGTCAGGTTGGCTGCAGCTGGTCTTTATCTGCTACAAAACACTGCAGCTGAAAGCTGCAGCGAACGGGCCCAATGTCTATCAAAAATGTTGCTTTCTTGGAGTTATCCCTCAACTCGTGGAAAATGGATTGTCCATTTTGCAATATGCAAATGATATAATTTATTTTATTGATCATAATTTAGAGCAAGCTAAAAATATGTGTTGGGAGGCCCTCGGACCTAGAGACCCCAGCAGAGCAGCCGAAAGGTCTTACAGCCCTTGACCCAATGAAGTGGAATAAAGTCAGAAGGAATAACAATAAAAGTAAAGGAATGTCAATGTAATTGTTACGTAAGATTACACAAATCTAACAAAACAATAAGCATATTCTTATTAGTACATTCTAGGGCAAATTAAAGGGTTGTTTGGATCCTCTCTAAATTTTAGATCTCTAAACTTTAGAGCTGAAGATGGTCTAAAGTTACTTCTAAGCTTTAGCACATCTCATATTAGAGCCTTAGACCTCAAAAATGACCTAAAGTGCTCTAAAATTTTTAGAGCTTTAAAGTTTACATGAGGGAATCCAAACAGGGCCCTAAGTGATCCTCTCCTCCCTTGAATCTACCTACTCTATGCCACTATGCCAAATGAGTGTGCCGGTGTCAGTAGGGACGCACACGTGACTTGCTTCTAGCTCCCATGGGTGGGTCCTGAGGGGTGTTTGGCACGGCTCCTCCTGAGGAGCCAGAGCCATTTTGGAGGAGCCACAAGAGCCGGAGCCGTTTTAAAGGAGCCACATCCAAAACAGCTCTGGCTCCTTTATTTTTTACTGAAAAACGACTCCTCCAGAAAAACTGTTTGAAGGGCTCCTCTAGAGGAGCCGAAGATGTAGAGGAGTTCTACCAAACAGGTCATGTCCTCAGAAGCACCTTCGGGCCTCTCCTCGTGCGCTGACACCTCCACCGGGCACCAACCTTTGTAGGTTTTCACCTTCCGGTGACCTGCTTTTAGGGTGAACATATACTGGCTCTAGTTTTGGCCTATGCTACTACGTAAGGGGGTGTTTGGGACAGCTCCGCTCTTGTTTTTGCAGCTCCGCTCCACGAACTCCACCATGGAATAGCTCCACCATGGAGTTTGTGGAGCAGGTATACTATTTGGCACACAACCTAGCTCCGGTCCAGGAATGTATTGTTTTAATACAAATGGTCTATTATGCCCCTGATTGGAACCGGCAGTAGTACTTAGCACGTTTGTTCTTCTTCTTTGCAAATAATATGATGCAAAATATTATAGTTGCAAATAATTTAGTCAAAATAATTATCAAGGCCTCTTTTACACATTTTTTAGTACCTCAAAACGACACGCTCCTTAGTTGCACCAATGGCGCTTGTTGCGTCAGATTACAAACGCTAATCAAATCAAAAGTTGAGATGAGCGACGGTGGCATCCAGGCCCACGGAAGTTGGCAATGCTGAGGAGCACCACGCGGGCATATACAGTGTAGCTGCAGGAGCACGCGACCGAGCGGTTAATGGTGTTTTCATTAATGAGTGGCAATTGGAGTTAATTTCTTCCCACTCCGTGAGAAAGCGCACAAGTCCAAAAACTGAAATACCTCTTAAGGTGCTCTAGAAAAAACGTGGAATTGGCTTCCGGTTCCATCTTTTTCGTAGAGCAGAGTTGTCGGAGCTGAGGGTGTTTGGCAACGCAGAGCTGGAGCGGAGCTATAAAAAGGGAGTGGAGCAGTCCCAAACACCCTCTAAATACGCAAGCCATACTATCCACTTGATAGGAAAAGCATTAGACATTGCTGCCTTGGACATTTTCGCCAAGAATAAATGAAGAGTGATAAAATACTTCACTTGTGATCATTTTTTCCTTCCTTATGTTGTTTCCCTTTTTTTTGATAAGTTGATTAGATGAAAACATTGTAAAAATTTGGCTGCGTGAGATTGTAGAGGCCAAAAACAACTCCTTTTTCTAAAAAAAATATGTTGCTTTTTTTTAGAACAAGTTTTGCCTAAAAATCTATATTCATGAATGAGCAGAGGCATATTGACAATTATATATACGTTGGTCGCTAACATTAGGTACCAATTCAAAAGCAGGCGCATGTGTGCCTACCTTTATTTTTTTCTCTGGATTCAACATGGACAAGTTGGCAGTTGAAAGAATTAAGGAGATTCTAAGACATATATATTCGATATTCCATCAAAGAAACCGATTGCAGCTTTCTGACACGTACTACTAATTATTAAAGCAGTACAAAAGGTAAATATAAATCTTGAGATCTGCATGATTCGTACGTATGGTGAGTATATGCCTTAGGCGCCGTTCCCAATGGTTTCTAAATAGCTAGTCTAAAAAAAATTCTATTGGAGGAGGGAGATCAAATAGTTAGCGACTCCCAAATCATGCATATAAATTGCACATGTTTTAAATTACTTTATTTCTTCTCAGGCCGACAAAAACCAAGAAAAATCCCTATCTGGTACAGTTAACTGACGTGCATATGTGTGTGTTCACGATTATATTATCGTTAGGAAATTGAAGGATTGCACTTCGAAGCGAGTGTCACAAATGAAATCTTCGTTTCCAGAACATTCAAATATTTGAAGCTTATATATATACGCACGTGCATGTGTATTAAAGCATATGATCGGAGCATGAAGAAAGTAGGACTGTCAAAATATTCGCCACTTTTCCAAACTGACAACTGTCGGCGTATTTTTTTATTTCATTTTGGCTATATTCAATAACGTTCCCTTGTGTTCTGCGGTCTTTATAAAAAGGTTGTCTGACTCTGACTGGGATAAATAAAATACTGCCGTTACGCTCACTGTCACAAAATACT